TCCTATGTTGGAAACCCATGTCTTACTCAAGACCAATATGGTAATTATGGGACTCTAAAGACTACATAAAGGTGTTGACTTTTTTACTGAACACTTAATAATTCCCTATACTAACAATAGTTGCATGGGTTGAAATGACAGTGGACAGTTAATGATGGTTCCTTCGGGGCATTATGTGCATCCAGGGCACAAGTACGGTTTATCATCCGAGTCAGAAATAAAACAAATATGGAGTGAGGGCTAGTCCTGCAATTGTCCAACACATTTACATACACACAGTAATACTAATTAATAATACATGTTGAATGAAATAAAGAAATAAAGTGACATATTATCCATACTAAAAGTGTACATTATCACACATAAAATAAACATTCATTTTGAAGATTAGAGTCCAGTGACATGGTAAGCATTCAAAGTCAGTGTGAACAACATGTCATATTCATCTTGAACCCTTGTGTTGTGTTCGAAAGCTGTTACCGTTCATGGTGACCCATGATTTATCTCCATCTCCAAAACACTCCAAAATAATGACTATCATCCAATATTGTTTTAACTCCATCATAACCTTTAAATTACAACAGGATTGTATGGTTAAAAATGCACAATAGGTATAACCTATTGTGCATTTTTAACCATACAATCCTGTTGTAATTTAATTATTGCACACGTGCATGTGTGTGTTCAGGTTCAAGTGTTAGTGTACATATTCTTTGTGAAAGGTCGAGTTCCCGTGGGGGGAGGGGGGCAAAGGCATGGGAGACCAGGTGCATGTTGCAAGAAAAAAAATGTGTTACAGTGGATGAAGGGGGTCGGGGTGGGGTGTCTAAAATCAAAGATTAATCTTGATTGGGCCAAATTTGACCCAGAGTCACCCACAACAATTCTGCTGAACACAACATAAGGGTTAAATGGTATAGGCATTTTTATAGGCAAAGTTTAATATAAGAAACCTTGCATTCTCCCCATATTATAGCCCAGATCAAGAAAGAATGTAATGCAGGTAATTATTGTTGGAGCAGAACACCTATTGTGGTGGCTGATAGCCACCCCCTCTGCTACGCGCCGTTCGTTGGATGAGGCTGAAATCTCTATTAAATAAAGAAAGGAATTGAAAACACCGGAATCAAAAGTTATAACAATTATCTGAGTTTACTGGTAGGAAACCAAACACATATACAAGTTATACAGAGTACTCCGGACTTCAGGTTTGTGATGCGATGCGGATAAAGGTGTCGGGACCTGCCAACTCATCAAACAAAAAGAAATTGACTTCAGGTTTGTGATGCGATGCGGACACAGATATCAGGACCAGCCAACTCACCAAACCAAAAAGCATTTTTACATACAAAAGCAACAGTATTCATATCCTTATTTTGGGGCGGAGATGTGTTGACTTTTCCCTTCCCCTTTTACTCCAAAGCGAATGAGAGAGTCCGTGAGGAGGAGCTGTGTGAGCTGCTCACATCCCCCAGGTGTCCTTACTGGCTGGATTCACTTCTGGTCGGGTTCAATAGTTCTCACCAGAACATGAGATTCCAAAGTTTCACAAGGTCAAAAGTCAATTCTTATCTCTGCCCCGATCTTCACTCCGTTACCTTCCCATGGGAGTTTTTCACATAAACTATTCCTTCTCAGACATTTAAACCTTTGTGCACATATTTAATGATGTCTTTAACGACCTTAAAAACAACATCTGTGTGTAGGGGTGAAAAGAAGAGGTGTGAGTGTGAAACAGGATCTCTGGGTCAGTGAGTTAAAAGTGAGAATATCATTTCTATATATGTGATTACCCAAAACCGTTGTGATTACCTAAAACAGTTCAAACAATACATGTTCACTAAAATACAATTCAAAATAATACATGTTTACTTCAATACAGTGTAGAATCATATCTTTTTACTTCATTATCTTATATATGCGCACATGTCTGTCTACTGGATTGCTTTTGCGCATTACCAACACAAGCAACTTGCACACGCGCACCCCACTCGTTCCCGCGTCCCACAGTCATTAGTGACGGAGCGAAAACCAATTTGTGGTACAGCCGACAGCTACACCGTGAAGCTTGCTCTGGTAAAATGGATAATAATTGTACCAAACCATTGTCGATTACAAGCGTAAAGGACTAGTATCAATAAATGGAGCAAGTTTCATGTATGTGACACTTTTATTTTGTAAGATAGCAAGGGGGGGCATATTGTGATAACCAGGCCTGTCATAAAATGCACCCCCCCCCCCCAAAAGATGTTTTTATTATTCCCACCCTCAAGCATTTTTCAGGGTATAGTTGTTAATCTTTGATTTTAGACACCCCACCCCGACCCCCTTCATCCACTGTAACACATTTTTTTTCTTGCAACATGCACCTGGTCTCCCATGCCTTTGCCCCCCTCCCCCCACGGGAACTCGACCTTTCACAAAGAATATGTACACTAACACTTGAACCTGAACACACACATGCACGTGTGCAATAATTAAATTACAACAGGATTGTATGGTTAAAAATGCACAATAGGTTATACCTATTGTGCATTTTTAACCATACAATCCTGTTGTAATTTAAAGGTTATGATGGAGTTAAAACAATATTGGATGATAGTCATTATTTTGGAGTGTTTTGGAGATGGAGATAAATCATGGGTCACCATGAACGGTAACAGCTTTCGAACACAACACAAGGGTTCAAGATGAATATGACATGTTGTTCACACTGACTTTGAATGCTTACCATGTCACTGGACTCTAATCTTCAAAATGAATGTTTATTTTATGTGTGATAATGTACACTTTTAGTATGGATAATATGTCACTTTATTTCTTTATTTCATTCACATGTATTATTAATTAGTATTACTGTGTGTATGTAAATGTGTTGGACAATTGCAGGACTAGCCCTCACTCCATATTTGTTTTATTTCTGACTCGGATGATAAACCGTACTTGTGCCCTGGATGCACATAATGCCCCGAAGGAACCATCATTAACTGTCCACTGTCATTTCAACCCATGCAACTATTGTTAGTATAGGGAATTATTAAGTGTTCAGTAAAAAAGTCAACACCTTTATGTAGTCTTTAGAGTCCCATAATTACCATATTGGTCTTGAGTAAGACATGGGTTTCCAACATAGGAAAAAACTCAGTGTTCATGAGGAAGGTTGAGGATTGCTTTTCAATATGACCGTTATTTTGCAGGTTTATCTGAAATATTTGAACGGTGCAGTTAACATTTATCATAGTTTGGTCAGATATGATTAGCTAAAAAGGGTTCAGGTGATGACAGATGATAATGAATGCCAACTAACTACTAGTTATTTTTAAACAAGTTACATTTATAATCCAGACAGACCTGCAAGCATACCCCTACTCTATGATCAGATAGTATGCCTCTCTAACTTGATGATGCATTAAATATCCCCTAACATGACTTGCATGTGCAGTTTGTATTTTCTCAACTATCAGCAACCAGGGGATAAGTAATCTAAACTCCTTAATACCTACATCAATGAGACACATAATACATGCTCTTTAATGGAAGAAAGTATTAAAATCCTCCATTGTGATGATGTATGCTGTCAAAGGTTAGTCAGCTAAATTGAACGTACCACAGGATGCTGCAAATAACTTGTGTAAATTGTGCGGTACTCTAATGGATGGTATTTATCACGTCTGACTGTGTTTACACTGATCTTTTAGTGTCTAATTAAAAGCTATGTACAGGGATACACACACACACACACACACACACACACACACACACACACGGCATATTGTGATAACCAGGCCTGTCAAAAAATGCACCCCCCCCCCCCAAAAGATGTTTCTATTATTCCCACCCTCAAGCATTTTTCAGGGTATAGTTGTAGGACTAGTATCAATAAATGGAGCAAGTTTCATGAATGTGACACTTTTATTTTGTAAAATAGCAAGGGGTGCATAACGTGGCAAAAATATGCTGACAAAGACTATGTAACATTTGTAAACATATATTTTGATTATTATATGACAAATATGTAAAATTAAACAATACATTTTAAAGCACGTGTATATAGACAGGACGTAACAATAACAAAAAAAAAAGATTTAAAAAAAAACTGAAAAGGAAGTGACGAATGAATTTCGACACCACTACCATCAAATACGGAGCGAAAAGTTTAACCACAAGAATCAAGACTATATGAGCTACCACTAAACAACTCACAGTCTGAAAATTACCATTAATAAAAACCCTGAACGTTTACTTTTCGTTTTAAACATCGTTTTAAGGTGTAAACGTGTCATTTAGAAATGCGCGTTCCCGTGACAAGGGGGGCATTTCATGACGGGGGTGCATAATTTGGCACAACACCGGCTCTTCCCCAGAGTTTGCCGCTTGGTCGTGACGCACGGCCGGACTGATCTCAGCCAATCACAGCTCTGCATGCATCCCCTGGATATTATTTTATTAACTGCTTTCATCGCGACGCGATGTTTACAGTGAGAACAGCTGTGAGGTCCGTGCAGAAAGCAGAGCAGTGTGTATAATATATATCACTCAGTATAACAGGCCTACTCTCTTTATTTACTGTAGTTTAGTAGATATCTACAAACAAAGAGTCCATATTTTCTCTCCTTAGAGAAATGAGAAAGGGCCCTGGAAGCTGCTTCACTTCCTCTGTGATCATGTTCACTTTATGAGTATACTTTTCATCACGTGTCTATATTTCAATGTTATAATAACAGTCTGTTCATATCTGTTGCATGTCTGTATTTCTGTCTCTCTGCTGCCTCTCATGGCTGTGAGGAATGTAACCATGACGTCAGCAGAGTGAGTGTGTGCAGCTCTGCACGTGCCCACCTCATTTCACTCCAACTCCCATGCTGCTTTGCGACATTTTAAACTACAAGCACCCACAGCTCCGTGTTTTACGCATGCGCATCAAACCCAAAACACTGAAAAGAACTACAACCGCACGTCACGACAACTACAACAGCTGTTGCCCATGCACAGTGCGCATCACGGTCATTTAAATGTTTTCTGTACGTGCAAAGATGGCAGCTCAGGTCGACCTGCAGAGACTGATCCGGGAGAAGACGAAGAGGAAGAGGAGGGAGGAAAGGGAGGAGGAGAGGAAGAGGACCGAGGAAAGGGAGGAGGAGAGGAAGAGGAGGGAGGAGGAGAGGAAGAGGAAGGAGCTGACAGCGGAGAAACAGGTGAGGAGAGAGAGGAAGATTCACCGGAGCCTCCCGCTGCAGGTTCCCCGCAAACAGAGCATCATCAGCGGGGAGAAGCACGTCCACCTGCCGCCCCAACACCTCCACCTGCAGCCAGAGGTGGGAAATACAAATACTTCGTTACTATACTTAAGTACATATTTCTGGTATCAGTACTTTACTCAACTACTTATTCTGACCACTTTTTACTTTTACTTCTTACATGTTGAACACAAATACCTGTACTTTCTACTTCTTACACTTTGAACACAAATACCTGTACTTTCTACTTCTTACACTTTGAACACAAATACCTGTACTTTCTACTTCTTACACTTTGAACACAAATACCTGTACTTTCTACTTCTTACATGTTGAACACAAATACCTGTACTTTCTACTTCTTACACTTTGAACACAAATACCTGTACTTTCTACTTCTTACATGTTGAACACAAATACCTGTACTTTCTACTTCTTACACTTTGAACACAAATACCTGTACTTTCTACTTCTTACACTTTGAACACAAATACCTGTACTTTCTACTTCTTACACTTTGAACACAAATACCTGTACTTTCTACTTCTTACATGTTGAACACAAATACCTGTACTTTCTACTTCTTACATGTTGAACCCAAATACCTGTACTTTCTACTTCTTACATGTTGAACACAAATACCTGTACTTTCTACTTCTTACACTTTGAACACAAATACCTGTACTTTCTACTTCTTACACTTTGAACACAAATACCTGTACTTTCTACTTCTTACACTTTGAACACAAATACCTGTACTTTCTACTTCTTACATGTTGAACACAAATACTGTACTTTCTACTTCTTACATGTTGAACCCAAATACCTGTACTTCTACTTCTTACATGTTGAACACAAATACCTGTACTTTCTACTTCTTACATGTTGAACACAAATACCTGTACTTTCTACTTCTTACATGTTGAACACAAATACCTGTACTTTCTACTTCTTACACTTTGAACACAAATACCTGTACTTTCTACTTCTTACACTTTGAACACAAATACCTGTACTTTCTACTTCTTACACTTTGAACACAAATACCTGTACTTTCTACTTCTTACATGTTGAACACAAATACCTGTACTTTCTACTTCTTACACTTTGAACACAAATACCTGTACTTTCTACTTCTTACACTTTGAACACAAATACCTGTACTTTCTACTTCTTACATGTTGAACACAAATACCTGTACTTTCTACTTCTTACACTTTGAACACAAATACCTGTACTTTCTACTTCTTACACTTTGAACACAAATACCTGTACTTTCTACTTCTTACACTTTGAACACAAATACCTGTACTTTCTACTTCTTACATGTTGAACACAAATACCTGTACTTTCTACTTCTTACATGTTGAACCCAAATACCTGTACTTTCTACTTCTTACATGTTGAACACAAATACCTGTACTTTCTACTTCTTACATGTTGAACACAAATACCTGTACTTTCTACTTCTTACATGTTGAACACAAATACCTGTACTTTCTACTTCTTACATGTTGAACACAAATACCTGTACTTTCTACTTCTTACATGTTGAACACAAATACCTGTACTTTCTACTTCTTACACTTTGAACACAAATACCTGTACTTTCTACTTCTTACATGTTGAACCCAAATACCTGTACTTTCTACTTCTTACATGTTGAACACAAATACCTGTACTTTCTACTTCTTACATGTTGAACCCAAATACCTGTACTTTCTACTTCTTACATGTTGAACCCAAATACCTGTACTTTCTACTTCTTACATGTTGAACACAAATACCTGTACTTTCTACTTCTTACATTTTGAACTCAAATACCTGTACTTTCTACTTCTTACATTTTGAACACAAATACCTGTACTTTCTACTTCTTACATGTTGAACACAAATACCTGTACTTTCTACTTCTTACACTTTGAACCCAAATACCTGTACTTTCTACTTCTTACATGTTGAACTCAAATACCTGTACTTTCTACTTCTCACATGTTGAACTCAAATACCTGTACTTTCTACTTCTCACATGTTGAACCCAAATACCTGTACTTTCTACTTCTTACATGTTGAACTCAAATACCTGTACTTTCTACTTCTCACATGTTGAACTCAAATACCTGTACTTTCTACTTCTTACATGTTGAACACAAATACCTGTACTTTCTACTTCTTACATGTTGAACCCAAATACCTGTACTTTCTACTTCTCACATGTTGAACTCAAATACCTGTACTTTCTACTTCTCACATGTTGAACACAAATACCTGTACTTTCTACTTCTCACATGTTGAACACAAATACCTGTACTTTCTACTTCTTACATGTTGAACTCAAATACCTGTACTTTCTACTTCTCACATGTTGAACTCAAATACCTGTACTTTCTACTTCTCACATGTTGAACCCAAATACCTGTACTTTCTACTTCTTACATGTTGAACTCAAATACCTGTACTTTCTACTTCTCACATGTTGAACACAAATACCTGTACTTTCTACTTCTCACATGTTGAACACAAATACCTGTACTTTCTACTTCTTACATGTTGAACACAAATACCTGTACTTTCTACTTCTCTCATTTCCCAAACAGGCTGGTTCCTTTAGTTTGAATGTGTGTCTGGTGGCGTGATCATTATTATTTAGAGTCATTGCGTGCCTATTGATTTGAACACGATCCGTGTATCCATCATTTCCTGGTCTTCTCTAAAGAAGAGGGACCAATGAAAACGTTGTCATGTTGCCGTTGTTCAGCATGGAAACATTCATTAGCTAACAATGACATTATTGTTCTATTAATATAAAGGGAGGTCAGGTACTCTTTAAAACAGCTGCTAGTTATGGGTACTTTTTACTGAAGTACATTTCAAAGTTCTTTACTTTCACTTGAGTAAAGAAGTTTAGTCAGTACTTCTACTTTCACCAGAGTATTTTTAAACACGAGTATCTGTACTTCTACTTGAGTAAAGGATGCGTGTACTTTTGCCCTCTCCTCCTGCAGCCTCCTCTTCCTCCTCCTCCTCCTCTTCCTCAGAAGAAGCACCAGGTAGAATCTCCTGCTCTGTTCAGCTTCTCTCCGCTGAGGAAGGAGAACACTGAAGCTAACGTGAAGCACGATTACATCAGGAGCAGCAAGGGTGAGTTTATTCATCTGTTCATTTATCATTATCATCGATTCCGGTTCTTATCGATTCCGGTTCTTATCGATTCCGGTTCTTATCGATTCCGGTTCTTATCGATTCCGGTTCTTATCGATTCCCCGTTTCGATTCCAAAATTGTAAAAGAAAGAGGTCAAACGTTTAGATAACAAAAATATCTTTATTCTTTTAAGCTTTAACTGACATTTTTACAAATAAGAAATATACATGCAATACAAATGTATTGCACAATAGCTGTGCTTTATGTGAACTGAGCTATGCCTGTGGCAAGCTATTAACAGGCATTACGCTGTACAGTGGAGCCTCACTTTAGAGCGTTTACCGCCATACATCTTTGGTGTTATGAAGTGACTGAGCTCGTGAACTGTCTACGGGAGGGCGGGGGGAGCCTCTCTGCGGGGCACCTGTGGACCTCTGTCGCCTGTCAGCGCAACTTACATGATGCCGTTTAAAAAAATTAAGGGCGGTGCCGGTCGTCAGCGGCCTGCTGACGACCGGCCGTTCTGTGATTCTCCAGAACACACAGATGACCAGTCCGTACCCTGTATTCAGGGTCTACCGCGTTTAGGAACCGTTAAGCAGAACCGAAATTGTGTATTTTGTATGGGTACCCGGTACCCGGCATTTTCTTATCGGTTCTCATCTGGAACCGAGTTTCGGTTCCCAACCCTACTCATTCATACAACTTTATAATATCAAGATTTAATAACTGTTGCACAATAATGTGGAAGCTTTGATCCAGACTGAAATGCTCCTTGCATCCCAGCAGCTCCGCGTGTAACATCCCAGCAGCTCCGCGTGTAACATGCCAGCAGCTCCGTGTGTAACATCACAGCAGCTCCATGTGTAACATCCCAGCAGCTCCGCGTGTAACATCCCAGCAGCTCCGCGTGTAACATCCCAGCAGCTCCGCGTGTAACATCCCAGCAGCTCCGCGTGTAACATCCCAGCAGCTCCATGTGTAACATCACAGCAGCTCCATGTGTAACATCCCAGCAGCTCCGCGTGTAACATCCCAGCAGCTCCATGTGTAACATCCCAGCAGCTCCGCGTGTAACATCCCAGCAGCTCCGCGTGTAACATCCCAGCAGCTCCATGTGTAACATCACAGCAGCTCCATGTGTAACATCCCAGCAGCTCCGCGTGTAACATCCCAGCAGCTCCATGTGTAACATCCCAGCAGCTCCGCGTGTAACATCCCAGCAGCTCCGCGTGTAACATCCCAGCAGCTCCGCGTGTAACATCCCAGCAGCTCCGCGTGTAACATCCCAGCAGCTCCGCGTGTAACATCCCAGCAGCTCCGCGTGTAACATCCCAGCAGCTCCGCGTGTAACATCCCAGCAGCTCCGCGTGTAACATCCCAGCAGCTCCGCGTGTAACATCCCAGCAGCTCCGCGTGTAACATCCCAGCAGGATCAGTGAGAGCTGCTCAAAGAGCCTTCAGCGTGATCTGATCTGTAGCTCTGTGTTCACTGAGAGGACTGATTGGAGCACAAAGGATGCTTCATTGTGCTTTGTATCTTGTTTGTAGAGCCGAGGCCTCGCAGTGAGACGCTGGAGGAGTATCTGCTGCTGAGGAAGAAGAAGAAGAAGAAGCCCCACATGCACCACAAAGCTGTGCAGACTGTGAGCCCTGACCCCCCCTCCCATCATCTCCTCCCCCTCCCGTTGAAGCTCCTCCCCTTCCTGTCGCATCAGGACATCTCAATTCGGCGCTCTCACCTAAACACCGGATCGTGGACGGGACATTTCCTGCACGAGGAGCTTCAGGCGAACGGTGGGGGGTCCGTTTTGCACGCTTACGGCGACGAGTTGTCCTTTCTCGATGCCGCGGAGATCGACGTTTTCGCCCAGGAGTTCCTAAAGCTGGCGTTCTCAGAGAAACCGCGGGGGGCGGCGCTCTACGCCCTCGCTGTGGTGCACGGTGCCGCCCACTTCCTGCCAGGACTTCCTGGACTACTTCGCCTTCAACTTCCCCAACACCCCCGTCAAGATGGAGATCCTCGGGAAGAAGGACATCGAGACGACCACCATCGCCAACTTCCACTCTCAGGTGGGCGAGGAGAAGATCACCTGTTATACAAAATCCACTTCCTCATGTCTCTTCATCATCAACATGTGTCCCCTCTTCCTCATGTCTCTTCATCATCAACATGTGTCCCCTCTTCCTCATGTCTCTTCATCATCAACATGTGTCCCCTCTTCCTCATGTCTCTTCATCATCAACATGTGTCCCCTCTTCTTCATGTCTCTTCTACATCAACATGTGTCCCCTCTTCCTTCATGTCTCTTCTACATCACCATGTGTCCCCTCTTCTTCATGTCTTTCTACATCAACATGTGTCCCCTCTTCTTCTGTCTCTTCTTCATCAACATGTGTCCCCTCTTCTTCATGTCTCTTCTTCATCAACATGTGTCCCCTCTTCTTCATGTCTCTTCTACATCAACATGTGTCCCCTCTTCATCAACATGTGTCCCCTCTTCTTCATGTCTCTTCTACATCAACATGTGTCCCCTCTTCTTCATGTCTCTTCTTCATCAACATGTGTCCCCTCTTCTTCATGTCTCTTCTTCATCAACATGTGTCCCCTCTTCTTCATGTCTCTTCTTCATCAACATGTGTCCCCTCTTCTTCATGTCTCTTCTTCATCAACATGTGTCCCCTCTTCTTCATGTCTCTTCTACATCAACATGTGTCCCCTCTTCTTCATGTCTCTTCTTCTCAACATGTGTCCCCCTCTTCTTCATGTCTCTTCTTCATCAACATGTGTCCCCTCTTCTTCATGTCTCTTCTTCATCAACATGTGTCCCCCTCTTCTTTCATGTCTCTTCTTCATCAACATGTGTCCCCTCTGTGGAAAGAGACTCTGAAAGTTTCAGGAACAAAGATTCTCTCTCTTTTGATCCATTTCTATAAAAACCTGTCTGATGAAATGAGCTGATCAGATTTTGGCCACTTTATGATGTCATAATATGTTTTGTCTTGTGTAACCATTAGCCAATCAGCAACCAAGGTAACCCCCCCCCCCTTATCACCTGAAATCTCCTCCTAGAGCACCATTGAGTTCTTTGTAACCAAATCTCTCTCAGAGGGCTTTTATATAAAACTAAATACTGGCTCTAACATGACGTACCTGTTGCAGGTGAGCAGGACGTATTGCTCGGGGACGTACCGCTCCGGCCCCATGAGGCAGATCAGTTTGGTGGGGGCCGTGGACGAGGAGGTGGGAGATTTTTTCCCAGAATTCCTGGACATGCTGGAGGAGTCGCCCTTCCTCAAGGTCAGAGCCAGATACATTGTTCCACCAACTCCTCTACTGTAAGAGCCTTAAGCTCTTGTTTTTACAATAGTTCAGACGCTGTGAGATGGAAGTGTTTAGCGATATCAAAGAAGTCATCTTTGCGACACCGATCCAGCTGCTCTAATGACGGAGAGGCTAAAAAGGACTCTAAGTGCTATAATCAGAGGAACTGTATACAATGATGACCAACTACGTACAGGTATCAAAAAACAACTTCTAGACCCAGGAATTAATAAATTAGTTTCAGGACCGGACGAGCCCCATGTGTGTTACGTCCCGGCTCGTGGAAAGTGGAAAGTAACATAGAACCAGTTGGAAATTGGAAAATTGGAAGTTGTTTATTGAGCTCTATAAAATTGGCAACGCGCAGCCATAATCAAAACAAGAAGGCCACGAAGGCTTAAAGGGGACCTCTCATGCAAAATGCACTTGTGTACGTCTTTTCTACATGAATATGTGTCCCCGGTGTTCCAGGGAACTCACCAAGTGTCAGAAACACAACCCTCTCTATTTTCCTCCATACCCAAATCTCTAAAAAAGGGGCTGCAACGGATCTGATAAAAACTGATCCAGATTTGAACACTGTCCTGACGTCAGGACGGTGGCGCTACGGCTATTGGGCCAACTCCACCAATCAGGAGGAGACAGCCACGGACATTGCCGTTCGAAAGCGCTGGAGACGCTGTAGTACATATGCCAGGCCTGTAGATGGTGCTGTTCTCACAGAATCAGCCCTTGCTAAAACAGAGCTATAAATGGTCAAATTGAGCAAAATTAGGCATGGCTAAAATGCATGATCTGTTTGGTATTTTGAAAAAAAAAAAAGTATAAATATTCCTTATATAGGTATGGTCCTACACTATATTATTCAAATATAGCATGATAGGTCCACTTTAACTAAACAACAAAAGGAACTAAGGAAGACTCTTTGAATAAGAGTTTGAACAAGTTAGTACACAAAATATACAAAATAACTAAAAACAAAAGAAAACCTCACTTCTAAAGTGGGAAAAATAATTGGGCGGGAGAGGGAGTACCGAGAGACGTCTGCCACAGATGCAGACCTCTCCCGACTAACTGCGGTGCACACGGTCTTGTAGTTGTGTGGGAGGTGTGTGCGGGGACTGGAGAGTCGGGCCGGCTCCAATCCAGATCTTCGGTCACGCCTAGAGGAGTTCTTTGAACACACATTGAAAAGGAGATGTTTCTGTTACTTTCATTGTAATGGTATACATGTCTGAACTTCCTGTTTTATATAGACTTTGCGCTATCAGCAGGAAGTTACTGTTCCCAAAGCAAAGACGGAGAAAAAGAACGGAGATAAAGTACAGACATTAACGGAGATATCTACATTTAAATACGGCGATATCAAAAGATAAAGTTCACATTAAAGTGTTAGCAAGAGGCTCAAGGTCAGTGTGAACATGTGCTTTGAGTCTCAATTCGTTTATATACTGTATCATAACTAACTATTTGAAGTTCACTTGTTGAATGGTATTCTAAAGTAATGCTCATATGGATGTAGCTTAAATGCATTGGTTGTTTTGTGTCTGCGTAGCTCTCACGTTGGTTTTTGGAGGTTTCAATAAATTAGAAAACATCAGTCAGGTGTACGACCGTCTTTCGGAGGGATACGCTACGGTTTACATCAGGAAAAATCTAAACCTAGCGTCCGTGTATCGACACAATATCGCCGCGCAAAGTATCGCGATACTGTGCTGTATCGATTATATCCCCCACCCCTACTGAATATACAGCATGTTTCCCACTAAAGGCCCCTACACACCAGGCAGTCACCAGAGAACTCGCCGACATCGACATCGACAGTTCCATCGACGAGTTCTCCTGCGTCTTGGCCGTGTGTCGCACTGGAACACACCGCAAAGACTTCAGCCGAGCACGTACGAACTGCGCATGCGTGAGTGGCAATAACTCTCCTTACCAGCAGGCGGCGGTAGTGTGTATTCGTCATTCAAAAGAGGCAACAACCGGAAGACAGAGAAGAAGAACAGACTGATATACACAAACAAATAGCGTGTGCGTTCCATTTTCACTCTCGTCCATCGAAAACATGTTTTAGAATATAAAAATACATGAATGATGAAATGAGCACATAAAGTGCAGACATACTATCAAATCACAGTTAATAGACCTGCATCTGATGATCGCAGTGTTCTGGCGGGTGTGTCGTTTATTGAGTCAGCAATGTAGTAATGGCCACTTCTTGCTAAATTTACGATGAGATGAAAAACCGGACTTGACCAAACAAATCACGGAGCTCTCAGCAGAGGACAGCCGGGGACGCTCCCGCCGATATCAGAGATGTCCCTGCTATGTGTGGGAGGTAAGAGAGGACATTTAAGGGCTATGTTTGATGTCTTTAAGTATCACCTGCTGGGGTTTAGCTGCTGTCCTGTGCCTTAAATCGTTTGTTTACGTCCCTCACTTCCGTTTCGCTTCTCATTTGCTAGCTGAACAGCTGATCAGAGTGGTTTCTTGGCCCGATAGCTTGTGTCGACCGTGAAAGGCCAAATAAGGCGTGTCACGGCCGAGGGTTCGGGACACACCAAATTGACTTTGGGCGACAAGGAACCCGTTGTCGCCAAACAACGCAAGACGGCCAATATTGGCCTGGTGTGTAGGGGCCTTAAGAAGTACCACCCTGTAACGTCTGTGTAATCTGTGGTCTTCCCCTCCGCCCCCCCCCCCCCCCCAGATGACCCTCCCCTGGGGGAGTCTCTCCTCGCTGAAGCTCTCCTGCCGATCGCAGAGCGACGACGGGCCGATTCTGTGGGTGAGACCCGGGGAGCAGATGGTGCCGACAGCTGATCTGCAGAAGTCTCCGTTCAAGAGGCGCAGGTACCAGTCCAGCAGTTGAGTTGATCTGTGTGTAGTGTCGTGGACAGTCCCCACTGACCAACTGAACAGTAACGGCCCGTCCACACAGCAGCGTTAAAAAAATCTTGGAGGTGGGCGTATCTGAAGCTTGGGTATTTTTTGCGAGCAAGGCACCAACAACCAATCACATGAATCTCCCGCCCCCGACATACGAAGCAAAAAGCCCGAAGTAAACTGGATATAAACTCCCCAAACAGGCGAAAACCTACCACTGTCTCTGCCACCCTCCCTCCATGCCTGGCTCCTCCGGTTTGTATCCCGGTAGGTAAATAGGGACTGGTCATAAAGCACCGGGTGATTCCCTACCGCTAATTTCTCCTCCATGTTTTGGAATATGAGGAAATGACCTGCGGTATGTCTCTCCCAGCATACACGCCGTTTGATTGGCTAGCACTTGAACTGTCAGATTTGCATACACGGGATTTGATTGGCTGACGCTTCCACCTCAGCTTCAAAAGTTGAACATTGCTCAACTTTGAATCCTGAAAATCCTGAAAATCTCCGCTCTGCTTCCCACAATGCAGTTCGGCGAAAAGTGAGGCAAAGTAACGTCACCCCATTCAAAGTGAATGGGCAGAAGCCTTCCTAGATTTTTTTTAACGCTGCTGTGTGGACGGTCCGTAAGTGCAGCAGCTTTAGCCGACATGGCTCATGACCAGCTGTTGTCCAGATGGTAATAGACACCTTTTTAAAATCACATCAACAGCATTAGTTACAAAGAAAGGATGAAAGACGAGTAGATGGAGGCGAGAGGATAGGATGTTCCTCAGTGAGCTGTGACGGTGCTATATGCATGTCTTTGAGTTGAGTGGGAATACAGTATTCAAAGAGTCTCCACAGCCGAAAACACAAAAACCTGATATTGTGTATATTGTGTGCATTAATTACAGTACAGTATGTACAGAGAGGGGGGGGTCACTGAATCATCTCCTCTCCTCCCCCACATGTTTGCTGCAGGTCCATGAACGAGATAAAGAACCTGCACTACCTCCCTCGAGCCAGCGAGCCCCGAGAGGTTCTGTACGAGGACCGGACCAAAGCCCACGCTGACCACGTGGGTCAGAGCTTCGACTGGAAGAGCACCGCCGCCGTGGGACTGCTGAAGGCCGTGAGCTTCAGAGAGGGGTGAGCTTCAGAGAGAGAGAGAGAGATGTGTGCCGTGTGCCACCCGTTATTTACGTTATTACTGTTAAAGACCCTAATAAAGCGTGTGTGTGTGTTACAGGAACAACGGTCCCCGGGTCACCAAAGACGTGGTGTGTTTTCAGGCTGGAGATTTTAACGAGGTGGTGCAGCGGCTGCAGCTCGACCTCTACGAGCCCCCGGTGTCCCAGGTCAGGAGATTCAAATGATGAGTTACACATACTGATAACACGTTTAGTATGGGTAACATGTCATCTTTAAAGGTGTCCTATCATGCTATCTTTAGGCATATATTATAGGTCTCAGATATATACACATGTCTCTGAAGTGTTCTGCTCCAAACCCCAAACAGATCCTTGTAGCCTCATCCCCCTCTATTCCAGCTGTTACTAAAGGTGTGTGTGTGGTGTGTGTGTGTGTGTGTGTGTGTGTGTTGTTGTGTGTGGTGTGTGGTGTGGTGTGTGTGTGGTGTGGTGTGTGGTGTGTGTGTGTGTGTGGTGTGTGTGTTGTGTGTGTGTGTGTGTGGTGTGTGTGTGTGTGTGTGTGTGTGTGTGTGGTGTGTGTGTGTGTGTGTGTGTGGTGTGTGTGTAGTGTGGTGTTGTGTGTGTGTGTGTGTGGTGTGTGTGTGTGTGTGTGTGTGTGTGGTGTGGTGTTGTGTGTGTGTGTGTGTGTGTGTGTTGTGTGTGGTTGGTGTTTGTGTGTGTGTGTGTGTGTGTAATGAGCTGTGAAGTCTCTCTCTTATAAATATCACCCGTTATTTACGTTATTACCCGGCTATTATATATATAACTCGAACCCTGGTAACATGTAATCGTTAAAACTGTGTGTGTGTGCAGTGTGTGCAGTGGGTGGACGACGCTAAGTTGAACCAGCTGCGCAGGGAGGGGGTTCGATACGTTCGAACGCAGCTCTGCCACGACGACATCTACTTCATTCCCAGGAACGTGATCCACCAGTTCAAGACGGTGTCGGCCGTCTGCAGCCTGGCCTGGCACATCCGCCTCAAACAGTACCAGTCCTGCGGGGCGGAGACACATCCTGACCCCCCCACTGGACACTACTCTGTCCCTAATCTGCCCGACGACAGCCTCACCCCCTGCGGAGACAGCAAGACTTTCCCATTAGTCTGCAGAGATGTTAAAGTACACATCCTTTACTCAAGTAGAAGTACAGATACTCATGTTTAAAAATACTCTGGTAAAGTAGAAGTACTGACTAAACTTCTTTACTCAAGTAAAGTAAAGAGGGCTTTGAAATGTACTTAAAGGTAGGGTAGGTAAGTTTGAGAAACCGGCTCGAGATCGCTAGAATTTGAAAATACACAACCGGAGAAAATCTGCCACTTCCTCACAGAGCCCCTCCTCAACACACACGAACGCGCACATGACCAATGAGGGCACGAGATAAGTTTGTGCACAGATGGAAGGCTGACAGGCTGGTAGGCCATCCAGTTATTTTAGCCGGGCCGGCTCAGATGATTGGTCGTGCTGCTTTTTACAGTACTACGGCTTCCACAGATGATATTTTTTATGGATTTTTTGTCAAAGCACTTCAGATATTCATTGCTATCGGGATGTTAAGAGCATTCCATGGAATATAACAACAAGTGTATCTCGAGCCGGTTTCTCAAACTTACCTACCCCACCTTTAAGTAAAAAGTACCCATAACTAGCAGCTGTTTTAAAGAGTACCTGACCTCCCTTTATATTAATAGAACAATAATGTCATTGTTAGCTAATGAATGTTTCCATGCTGAACAACGGCAACATGACAACGTTTTCATTGGTCCCTCTTCTTTAGAGAAGACCAGGAAATGATGGATACACGGATCGTGTTCAAATCAATAGGCACGCAATGACTCTAATAATAATGATCACGCCACCAAAACACACTTCAAACTAAAGGAACCAGCCTGTTTGGGAAATGTAAGAAGTAGAAAGTACAGGTATTTGTTCAACATGTAAGAAGTAGAAAGTACAGGTATTTGTGTTCAACATGTAAGAAGTAGAAAGTACAGGTATTTGTGTTCAACATGTAAGAAGTAGAAAGTACAGGTATTTGGGTTCAACATGTAAGAAGTAGAAAGTACAGTATTTGTGTTCAACATGTAAGAAGTAGAAAGTACAGGTATTGTGTTCAACATGTAAGAAGTAGAAAGTACAGGTATTTGTGTTCAAAATGTAAGAAGTAGAAAGTACAGGTATTTGGGTTCAACATGTAAGAAGTAGAAAGTACAGGTATTTGTGTTCAAAATGTAAGAAGTAGAAAGTAACGGATTTGTGTTCAACATGTAAGAAGTAGAAAGTACAGGTATTTGTGTTCAATGTAAGAAGTAGAAAGTACAG